TGTTTTTTAAGTGGGGGGCGGGGGGGGGGGGAGAAACTGTATTTAAACTATTCCAAAACCTATTTTTGCTTTTCACACTACATTCAGACAGCTCACGTTCCTTATATCCCTACTAGAGGCCCGATGCACAAAATTCGTGCACAGGGGCAGGTGTCCCTCAATCCAGCCTGCACCCTCTCCAATCTGGAACCCCTCGGGGAATGTACTACTGTCGGTTCTGGCTTAAACCGGCAGTCAGACATCTCTCTCACAATCCAGGACTGCTGGCTCCTAACCACTCGCCTGCCTGCCTGGCTGATTGCCCCTAACCGCTTCTGCCTGCCAGCCTGATTGCCCCCTAACTGCTCCCCTGCTGGCCTGATCTCCCCCAACAGCCCTCCCCTGCAGGCCTGGTCACTCCCAAGTACCCTCCCCTGCTGGCCCGATCACCCCACACTGCCCTCCCCTGCTGGCCTGTTTGTCCCCAACTGCCCTCCCCTGATGGCCTGATAGCCCGCAACTGTCCTCCCCTGCCAGCCATCTTGTGGTGGCCATCTTGTGATGACATCGCATGAGGGCGTCACGCGAAGGCATGATGCCACCTAGGCTTTTATTAGATCCTAGTAGCCTGGTGCACAAAATTTGTGCACATTAAAAGGGAATTAATTGCTCTAACCGGTTTGGCTCAGTGGATAGAGCATCGGCCTGCGGACTCAAGGGTCCCAGGTTCAATTCCGGTCAAGGGCATGTACCTGGGTTGCGGTCACATCCCAAGTGGGGAGTGTGCAGGAGGCAGCTGATCGATGTTTCTCTCTCATCGATGTTTCTAACTCTCTATCCCTCTCCCTTCCTCTCTGTAAAAAATCAATAAAGTATATATTTTTTAAAAAGGGAATTAATTAGCAGAGATATTTTAATATTGCTATTTGCCCTTTCTCTATAATACAAGTGTGAAAGATGAAAGGAAATTAGTAAAATGTATATGAAAATCATATATAAATTTATTAATAAATAAACAGTAACAAAAGGATATAACAACAACAGAGGCATGATATAAAAATGACAAAAACATGATATGAAAACAACAAAAACATGATATGAAAACAACAGTGATGCAAACAATGACTGATAAAGTGATTAAACTTATTCTAATATCTCCCTTACACCACATTAAGAGTGAAAACACGCCAAAACCGGTTTGGCTCAGTGGATAGAGCGTTGGCCTGCGAACTGAAAGGTCCCAGGTTCGATTCCGGTCAAGGGCATGTACCTGGGTTGCAGGCATATCCCCAGTGGGGGATGTGCAGGAGGCGGCTGATCGATGTTCTCTCTCATTGATGTTTCTGACTCTCTATCTCTCTCCCTTCCTCTCTGTGGCAATCAATAAAATATATTTTTTAAAAAAAAGAGTGAAAACACTTTCAGAGTGCTTGACTAATTTCCCTTGTGATGAAGTACTTAGAACTTTAACTGTAACATCACATGCTCTTCAAACTTGAGAGAAAGCAACATATAACTGACCATGTGCAAAAATGGGTTCAGGTAGGAATATGCCTACTTCTTCTAGAGTTTGTCCTTGTGATTTATCAATAGTCATCACAAATGCTGGCATCATGGGAAACTGTCATCAAATCAATTTAAATGGGAGGCCAGTGTCCGATGGGGACAAATTAATTCTTGGAATCAGAACAGCCTCTCCCTCTGCAGATCCTGTTAATACTTCAGCTTCGATAATATTAGGTCATAATCTTTTGATAATAAATCTGGTACCATTACAAAGACCCCATTTACTATTGAGATTTCTCAATAGCATGATGATTGCACCCACTTTCAATTTTAATTTATGACATGGCATTCCCAAAGGAGTAATACTATTAAGAAATTCAATGGGAAAATTTTCCTTTACAGCATCATCTGTGGAATCAATGGAATCATCACTCAAATATGTGTGAAAATCTCCATCGAGTATATCCAAATTTTCTTCACTTAAGTTTTGAACATGCTCATTTTTTGGACAAAGAATTGCATGTTTAGATATTTTTTAATATTATCTATAGCAGTAGTTCTCAACCTTGACTGCACATTAGAATCATCTGGGAATCTTTTTAAAAATCCTGGTTCCTGGGCCTCATCCTCCAGAAATTGTTTCTTTGTTATGGGGTGGGGCCACAACATTAGTAACAAAGAAACAGAATTAACACTTTATTGTGGGGAGCCATTACAGTGTTTTGGACAGATTCAAGCCTTGGACTGATGAGAGGGCACAGTCCTCTTATTGCCACATGCAAGTCCCAGCTTGGAGGGCAAGGCCCTCCCAGCACAATTATAGCCAACAGCTGTAGTTGTAAGCTTGAACCTGTGGTCTGAACACATGGTCCCATGTGCCTGAGTGATGTAGGCTTGATAGAGTTCAGGTGCATGTAGTTGAGTAGGATTGAAACCCAGGAGAATGTTGTAAACATTTTGGTCATGCCCTTACTTTGGCTCGAAGCATCTGCTATAAAATAAAGGCATGGCTGTGGGCGTGGTCACTGTCTCTCAGAGAAGCAGCATCCCACCAAGACCCGGCTTTCATTCTCTTGTCTGTCTTTTCTAAGCCTTTCAGCTGCTCCCACTCAGGTTAACCCCTGGCCGTGCTGGTGTGGCAGACTTTATAAAGATATGCCTCCATGCCCTAACTGGTTTGGCTCAGTGGATAGAGCGTCGGCCTGCAGACTGAAGGGTCCCAGGTTCGATTCCGGTCAAGGGCATGTACCTTGGTTGCGGGCACATCCCCAGTGGGAGGTGTGCAGGAGGCAGCTGATTGATGCCCTCTCCCTTCCTCTCTTTAAAAAAAATCAATAATATATATTTAAAAAAAAAAGATATGCCTCCATGCTCCCAGGGCTGGTTCCTGCCTCAAACCCTGCCCTTACAGGAAACAACTTGGGGGAGGGCACAGCCGTTGCCAAGACAACCCCTGCAGGACTGACTTCCTTCTGCTTGGTTGCGGTTCTGGTCATGATGAACACCCATGGTTTTTATATAAGTAGATCATTTACAGCAGTGGTTCTCAACCTGTGGGTCATGATCCTTTTGGGGGTCGAAAGACCCTTTCACAGGGGTAGCCTGAGACCATCAGAAAACACATATAATTACATATTGTTTTTGTGATTAATCACTGTGCTTTAATTATGTTCAATTCGTAACAATGAAAATACATCCTGCATATCAGATATTTACATTATGATTCATAACAGTAGCAAAATTACAGTTATAAAGTAGCAAAGAAAATAATTTTATGGTTGGGGGCCACCACAACATGAGGAACTGTGTTAAAGGGTCGCGGCATTAGGAAGGTTGAGAACCACTGGTTTACAGTGTAAAGACCTATGGCACCCTAGCCGGTTTGCTCAATAGGTAGAGCAGGGTGCCTGTGGACTGAAGGGTCCCAGGTTGATTCCCTTCAAAGGCACAGGCCCAGGTTGTGGGCTCGACACCAGTAAGGGGTACGCAGGAGGCAACTGATCGATGACTCTCATTATTAATGTTTCTCTCCTTCTTCCTTTCTCTTTGAAATCAAACTACACTAATAAAAGACAAAGATGCAAATTGACCATACCCTCACTATGCCTTAAGCCATGACCACCAGCCAATCAGAGCGATTATATGCAAATAAACCCAACCAAGATGGCGACCGGCAGCCACAGAGCTGGAGCAAGCAGGAGGCTTGGTTGCCCCAGTGATGGAAGAAGCCAAGCTTCCCGCCTGCCGTGGCAGACTCTGAGCTCCACTCAAGGCAACAAAGTTTCAATTATAGAAGATAAATAACCCCCAGATACCTGCTTTCAGCCGGCCGTGGCCACAGAAATGGAGCAAGCAGGAAGCTTGGGTTGCCCCTGGTGATGGAGGAAGCCAAGCTTCTTGCCCGCCCTGGTGGACTCTGAGCTCCACTCAAGACTACAAAGTTTCAATTATAGAAGGTAAATAAATCCCAGAATAATAATAATGAAAAAGAAATAAAGGAGAGGCTGGGAGCTTCTGTCTCCATGGGGCTTGGCCAGCCTGAAAACGGCCCTCAACCCCTCACCCATACTGGCCAGGCACCCCAGTGGGGTCCCTCACCCTAAAGGGGGTGTGGCCAGCCTGAAAACAGCCATCAGCCCCTCATCCAGGCTGGCCAAACCTCCATGGGGTGAGGGTCCCCACTGGGGGCGGCTTGACCAGCCTGCAAACAGCCATCAGCCCCTCACCCAGGCTGGCCAGGCACCCCAGTGGGGACCCCACCCTGATCTGGGACACCCTTCAGGGAAAACCAGCCGGCCCCCACATGTGCACCAAGCCTCTACCCTATATAATAAAAGGGTAATATACAAATTGACCCTAAGAGCAGAACGACTGGGAAAGACTGGTCACTATGACACACACTGACCACTAGGGGACAGATGCTCAATGCAGGAGCTGTCCCCTGGTGGTCAGTGTGCTCCCACAGGGGGAGCTCTGCTCAGCCACAAGCCAGGCTGATGGCTGCCAGTACAGCGATGGTGGTGGGAGCCTCTCTCGCCTCCTCAGCAGCACTAAGGATGTCTGACTGCAGCTTAGGTCTGCTCCCTGCTGGTAAGTGGACATCCCCGAGGGCGGCCAGGGAGCAGGCCTAAGCCAGCAGGTGGACATCCTCTGAGGGGTCCCAGACTGCAAGAGGGCATAGGCCAGGCTGAGGGATCCCTCCCTCCACCCCCCGAGTGCACAAATTTTTGTGCATCAGGCCTCTAGTAAAAATATATTTAAAAATATATATTAAAAAAACACACCCTATCAGCCAAGCACCATGGGTGGGACCCGCAGGTGGCCATCAGCATGGCAGGTGGAGGCGGGATCTCCCGGGAATCTCCGAGGCCCAGCAACCCGCCAGGTGACCTCCAGGACTCCACCCCCGCACCCCTCCACCCGAGTGCCTGGAGGCGGCCACGTGGACGGCGCTCCTCGGCCACAGAAAGGGGCGTGGCGAAAGTCCGTGCGTGGTACGTGCCCCGCCCCTCCCCGCCCGGAGCCCGGATGAAAAGTAACGCCATTTTCGCTGGAGTCCCCGAGAGCTCTCGCGGACGGCGACAGGGCACCGGACGGACCGCGCCATGAGGCTCCTCCCTCGCCTGCTTCTGCTTCTCTTGCTCGTGTTCCCCGCCACCCTCTTGCTCCGAGGCGGCCGTGGAGGTGAGGCGAGGGGAGGGGACGGTGGGGTTCGCCGGGAAGGAGCCGCCAGGGACGGCAAGTTTAAAGCTGGAGGCGGCGGCGGCAACTCCTGGGTCCGGCGTCCAGCTCGCCGGCCTCCCTCCACCTCGTCCTGAACCCCCGGCTCGCAGTCGGGACCGCAGGGACGAGTCTGCGGTGGGGCCGCTGCCGCCTCCACGCGGAACGCGGGGCAGTGCCGGGCGCCCGCTGCTGGGGTCGGAGCTGGCGGGTCCCGGGCGGAGGGAGGCGGAGGGCCGCGGGAGCGCGTGCAGCCCCTGCCCTGCGGCCCGGCTGTCTCCCGGCCGCCGCAGCGCCGCTCCACCCCCTGCCCCGGCTCTGGGCTGACGTGTCTTTCGTTTCCCGCTCGGAGTCCCCTTCATTCATTTGCCGAAGCCTCTGTTCCTCAACACCTGAGCTCTCGGAGCGCTGTGCACGTTCCTGGTCCTCTTCCCGGGCGCCGGCCCGGCCCCGGCCCCGGCCCGGGGTGCTGCCGGGGGTCCCGGTTTCAGAGCAGCTCCCCGGTCTCGCCCCATTGCCCAGCCCCGCACTCCCAGGCGGGGATCTGAAGGAGCTCCGTGGGCTGTCTATTGCTTAGGCCCCTTTTTCCTCTCCTTTCTTTTTTTGTAACCATTTTTTTTTTTGTATCTTGGCACCGTGTCCTGGAAATATATAGTCTCATTCGAGTTTTACATGTTTTATTCAGGTTTGTTTATTCCTCCCCACGGTTAAGCTGGGGTGGAAATAACCTACACGGCAGAACATTAAAAATGTGTAGACTTGGCTTCTTGCCCCGATTCTCCCATGAACTTGGATTTCTGTACTCTGTCAGTGTAGTCTGACTGGATGAGCGCTGGGATTCTGCTCCCATCAGCTGAAGCGAGCTGAGGCGGAGTGCGTGATAGTGACAGGTGACCACAGGCCGCTTTCCAAGTGAAAAAAAGTGAAGTGACTGGTTCCTGTTCAGTGGATGGAAAACCAAGTATGAAGAGTAACCAGAACTGTCAAGGGATTCATTTGCAGGTTGAGGGATTCTTTTCCCTTACCATTTGCTTGCTGATTTCCTCTCTCTCTCTCTCTCTCTCTCTTAACAAAAATTGCCAATTCTACTTACTATATTTTTTCAGGTTTTAAACTTTTTTTTTTTTAAGGAAACATCAGTGTCTAAACTGAACGGGGTATCTTTAAACACTTGTTGTGAATAATGGTCTTTCTTTCAAAAGATGTTTCCTTTAAAACTTTTCAAACTTAAAAGTGTTGGATTTTATAGGCATAGAAATGTTACGGGTAACATTAAAATACTTTAGTATCCACTGAAATGTAGGGTGAAAAGCTGTTATGTCTCAATCCTGAGTTTAAGTACAACTTTAAATTATTATGTCAGACCTAGATATTTTTCTTACTAGTTTTTCATTTCTTTAGGGTTTTTTCTTTCTTTTTTTTTTTTGGGGGGGGGGGTGTCTTTTAACTAGTTTTTTAAAATGACTTGTTTAGGTAGAAGAACTGAAAAGACTTAAAATACATGGCCCTTAACGTGTGCTGTTTCTCCTGGGTGTTGCAGCATATGCACATGCTTCCTTTCCCACATTTTTTTCCCTGTCCTGAACTGCCACATCATCATTCTTTCTGAGAAATGTTGGGAGAGTCGCTAGAACTTTGAAATTTCTTTTGAGGGTCTTGCCTGAAATAGATTTAATGTGACTTATTTAGAATACTTTTGCAAATAAAACTGTGATTTATACTTTCCTGGCATTATAGTTATGCCTAACTTTTATTTTCATATTAAGTGTAGGGGAAATAAAAAAAGTATATTAAAACATGTTTGAAGCCACCCGCAAAAATAAGTGCATGCTTTCTCTGCTCTCAACCCTGAAGTTAATAATATAGGTTTTTTACTAAATAGTGTGTTTTATGCCAGCTAGTTTTTACATGAACGCCATGTAGATCTTTGTTCCTTGGAATTACATGTTATCAAATTCTAAGAGTTTGAGTTTTCGTCAACTCTAATAACAAAGTTTCTTGCTTAGATATTTAGATTGCTGTTTTTCTCTAGCCGTGAGTATTTTTGTTTATTTTGTATGGATAATGACAGATTAAATTTTGGGATTTCTTTTGAAACACTTATTTTCCTTCATTTGCTTAACAAAATTGCTTGAAGTCCTTTATTTGAACTTTAAGGCATCTTTAATTTCAGGAGTTCATTTTTTCAACTGTTAGGCGCTTTTTAAAATTAAGCAGCATTTCCCATTAAAATTAACATGCAGTTGTTAAAACTACTAAGATAAAATATGAATATTCTTTTTTTTTAAATTGATTTTACAGAGGAAGAGAGCCAGAAACATCAATGATGAGAGAGAATCATCAATCGGCTGCCTCCTGCATGCCCCCTACTGGGGATCAAGCCCGCAACCCTGGCATGTGCCCTTGACTGGAATCAAACCCAGGACCCTTCAGTCTATAGTCCAATGCATTGTCCACTGAGCCAAACCAGCTAGGGCTGAATATTCTTTTTTTTTTTTTTTTAACATATTTTATTGATTTTTTACAGAGAGGAAGGGAGAGGGATAGAGAGTTAGAAACATCGATGAGAGAGAAACATCGATCAGCTGCCTCCTGCACATTCCCTACTGGGGATGTGCTCACAACCAAGGTACATGCCCTTGACCGGAATCGAACCTGGGACCCTTGAGTCCACAGGCCGACGCTCTATCCACTGAGCCAAACCGGTTAGGGCTGAATATTCTTATATGCATTGTAATCTGACATCATTCAAGTACACTGCGTGATTGAACTGCTCCAAGGGGAAATTTTTGTTCAGTATTCTTGAGATGAAAAAACATTAGTATTCCAGGGTAGGTAACTGCTTGTTTTATATTTTATTGTTAGGCTCAGTAGCAGCAGCTCAAGATCTTACAGAAGATGAAGAAACAGTGGAAGATTCAATAATTGAAGATGAAGATGATGAAGCAGAAGTGGAAGAAGATGAACCAACAGATTTGGTAAATGTGATATAAGATTTAATGCATATATATATATATATATATATACATACCTAGAATTTATCCTTTTTATAGATAAATTTGCCTTTAAAATTCTTAATTTTATTTTATTTTATTTTATTTTATTTTATTTTATTTTATTTTTTAATATATTTTATTGATTGTTTACAGAGAGGAAGGGAGAGAGATAGAGAGTCAGAAACATCGATGAGAGAGAACATCGATCAGCCGCCTCCTGCACATCCCCCACTGGGGATATGCCCGCAACCCAGGTACATGCCCTTGACCGGAATCGAACCTGGGACCTTTCAGTCCGCAGGCCGACGCTCTATCCACTGAGCCAAACCGGTTTTGGCTAAAATTCTTAATTTTAGAGGCTTGTTATTATGGTTGGTGTGAATTGAAGTTTGGATAATAGGGGCCAGTTATTGGGGATGGATCATTAGTATTTTCTGGAATAGGGAAGGAGATCATATGGACATGACTCTGTTAGAGTAACAATATAGTGGACCATTTGTTGATAGATTTGAGATACATACTACTTAGCTTTCTGATTTTGGGTAACTTGTCTCTCTGGGTCTCAGTTTCCTTTTTCTTTCTTTCAACAAGCAAATATTTATTTATGTGCCAGGCACTGTTTTGGATGCTGGGGTGAACAAACCAGGTGTTTTCTTTGCTGTCATGTAGCTCATGTTCTTGGAGTAGTGTCCAGGGGTAAGGAGCAGACTATAAACAGTATATACAGTATGTTCTGTGAGAGTAAAGGGCTTAGAGAAGATTTCTAAAAGTCATTCAGCTCTGACACTTTTATTACAACATTACTAGTGGCCTGGTGCATGAAATTCGTGCACAGGGTTGGGGGAGGTGTCCCTCAGCCAGGCCTGCACCCTTTCCAATCTGGGACCCCTCAGGGGATGTCCGATTGCCGGTTTAGGCCCACAGGCAGTCAGACATCCCTCTCGCAATCCCTGGACCGCTGGGTCCTAACCACTCACCTGCCTGCCTGATCACCCCCAACTACCCCCCCCACCCCCACCCCCAGGCCAGCCTGATCAGCCCTAACCGCCTCTGCCTCACTGTCTCGGCCCTGCCACTATGGCTTTGTCCAGAAGGTCTCCCAGTCTAATTAGCATATTACCCTTTTATTAGTATAAATAGTATGACAGTAAAAATACTGGGCTAGAATAAGGATTATTGCAGCATGCTTCTAGCTAATTTCATTTCCTCTCTTGGACTACTGTAATCTATGCCACACATTTTTTTTTTCTCTTCATTATGCCATACCTGAACCTAGAAACTTGTGATTCTAGATCTTGTGATTTTTTTTTTTTCGAGATCAAACCAAGTCCCTATTTTTCTATTATGTCAGCATCAAAATAATTGGCCTTGTATATAGATACTGCTCCCTTTTTTTGTCCTCATTTTTATGGAGTATGCTTTCCAACTAAGCTAATCTGCTTGCTGTTTTGTTGATGTTTAAATGACCATTTCTATGCATTTGCACATATTGTTTCACTTGAATAGAATACCCCTACTAATTTTTGTGCTTTTCTAATTCCCCCTCCTTTAAGAAAACTACCTTTACAGATTACCTTATGTCAAGCTTTTCACATGTATGCATATCCATACGTTAAGGGTTTATATTAGGGCTCTGCACCTTCAACACAGTTCATTCGATGCATTACTTTAACTAGATAAATACATTCCTCCATCAGTGATGGTAACAAAAACTTCACTCTTCTAAAAGTGCTGCTGTGGTAAGATAACTTGGAATGAACATCTGAAGAGAATCCATCCAGAAAATGAGGATTAGAGATGGTATTTAGGGCTCTGAAATGTGGGCATGCACAGAAATTTAGTGATAGATCATCTCTAATAATAGAAGTGTAATATGCTAATTAGATCAGATGACCTTCCGGATGAAGCCGGGACTGCTAGGGAAGCCCGGGTCCTGGGTGCCTGCTGGTAGCCAGAAGGAAGACTGGGTCCTGGGTGCCAGAGGGAAGCCAGTGCTGACAGCCAGGGGAAGGAAGGCCTACTCGTGTACGAATTTTGTGCATTGGGCCTCTAGTATTGTTATAACCACTTTTCTGAAATTACATCGGATCTCTAGCACTGGAATGTATTTATTGTGGAGGAAAGAGTAGCAGAGGAAACTATTGGATCTTTGTTACAGTTTCAGTTTAGGCAGAACTTTTCTATCCCTTGATCATCTCCCTTGCCTTGAGTATTATAATTGAGAGAATAACTCAAAATGTCCACTCTTTACCCTGGCCAGTTAATTCAGAAGTGTTAGTACCTTTTTCTATGTTGCTTTTCTCAAATCAGAAAGTGGTTAGGGCAAATTGAAGCAAAATGCTGGGTAAGTGTTTCCTTCCTTTAGACTAGATGGTACCAGCAGTAGACTTGTAGGGAACCCTGCAGGCTAAAAAAGATAGGCCTGTAAGGCAAGAGCTGCTACAAAAGTTACCTCCAGAACTGAGGGCCATGGAATTTCTCCTGTTATTGTTCTTACCCAAGATTTGTCTTATCAACTTAAACACAGCTGCCTTAGACATCAAAGAATTGGTGGATATGGGAGGATCCTTTGATACTGGGACTATGTCTGTAGTCAAAGGACAGAAAGGAGATTTCCCTAAGATTTGAGCTACCAACACCCGGTTTAGATACAAGTAATTGGTTTAAAATTTTTCAGTGTAAACTGTTTTTTAAAGTCACCTTGGGTTTTTCTGCCCCCTCGATTATCCTTTAGTCTCTAAAACCAAGGGTTGCAATGTAGAATGTCATCATTCTTTGAAAGTATTTTTCTTAAGAGAATTAATAGCAGTTTTTGTTTTAATATTTATTGAAACAAGCACTAAAGTAGTAACACTAACAAAATATTAGTATTATTATTTAAAATAGATACTATATTCAAGTGGATTAGAGCTTAAAAGGTGCAAGGTATGTAGTGAAAAGTTTCTTGCATGCCTGCCCTCCAGGTGCAGAGGGCATCTCCACAGTACTATCAGTTTCTTGACTCTCCTGCAGATAGTCTGTAATAGCCAAACTATTCTAGAGCAGCGGTCGCCAACCTTTCAGACCCTGTGGACCACTGGTTGGCGACCGCTGTTCTAGAGTATAACCAGGTAGCAGGTACTAAGCAATATACATCATATAATATGCTAATTGGCTATAAGATAAATGAGTTGTTTACCTTTACTTCCATCTACTTTCCAGTTCTTCACAACTAACATTCCAAACATTTATCACTTTCAAATTCAAAATTAGTCCTCTTCTGTCTTACTAGCAATGTTGCCTTCAGTGTCAGAAAGTAAAGGCCATGAAGTATGGACTCTATCAAATATTCCACTTCCTACTTCTAAGTATATTATTCACCTATCCTTTCTACATTTTCTTTACCAGCATGCTTCTTGAAACAGTAAACCGTACATTTTTTCTCTTCTGCTCATGTCACTTTTTTCTCTAAGTTGTTTGGTCACCTGTGTCTGCTAAAAATGTTCTTGCTAAGTCATCAGTGACCTAATTGCCAAATTCCAGGCCTGTTTGCCATTGTTTTTCTGTTTGAACCATTTTTAGCATTGGCCCATTACCCCTCCCTCCCTCCCTTGAGGATATTTTTCCATTGATTTTTAGAGCAAGGAAAGACAAAGAGAAGTATCGATGTGAGAGAAACACATCAACTGGTTGCCTCCTGCACACACCCAGACCAGGGCCGGCCGTGCGGGAGCCTGCCCTGGACTGAATTGAACTCGGGTCTGTTTGGTCCACAGGCCGAAGCTCTATGTACTGAGCCAAACCTGCCAGGGCCCGTTACCCCTTTCTTGAGTCCCTTCATTTTGACTTTTATTGCACCTTATTAGTTTCCCTGCCCAGCTGCTGCTGCTTGGCCTCTCTTACCTTCTCTCTCCTCCCTCTGCTCACCCCCTTAATGTTGCTGAAACCCATGGTTTTAGCCACCACCAGCTTATATTGATGACTTTCAGATCTAATTTCTAGCCATCTACTTTACAGTTACTGAGCTTTATACCTGTATTGTCAGCGCTTTGCAGTATAGCACCATCTGGATGCTCAAATTTTGTATGTCCAAACTGGAATTCAGTATACACTGTCCATCCTACCTTCATAAACTATTTCTTGTTTTGATAATGGCTCCAGTGATTCAAGCTTGTGCCTTGCTACTTTTCTTGTTTGTTGCACAACTCATTAATCAAATCTTAGGAATGGTTTCTCTTAACTATTTCTCAAGTCTACACTTTCCTCTTTATACTACAGCTTGTGGTTCCTGCCTTCCTGTCTTTGGTCTAGAAATGCTGCACTGAGGTTTAAAGTTTTAAACTAAATTTTGTTCACATTTTTTAAACAGCTTTATTGAGATACTAGAGGCCCAGTGCATGAAATTTGTGCACAGGTAGGGTCCCTAGGCCTGGCCGGCAATCAGGGCTGATCAAGGCCTTCCGGCTGCTGGCCGGGGCCTTCCTTCATTCCGCACCGCCACCTGGTGGTCGGCACACGTCATAGTGGGCAATCAAACTCCAGGCCTCCCGGTCGAACTCCCGAGGGGACACTGCATATTAGCCATATATATATGATTTGTTTATCATAATACTCATCTGTTTTAAGCATACAATTTAATGATTTTTAATACATGCACCAAATTGTGTAGCTTTAATCAAGTTTTAGGGCATCTTCATTACCCCAATATCTGGTCACTTTTTTTTTTTTAATCATTTTTTTCCAGTTATATGACAGATTCTCACAGGAAAATTTTCTTTACCAGCATCTTCTTGAAATAGTAAATGATACAGTTTTTCTGTCCTGTTCTGTTAATCAGGATGGAAGTCTTTGTAGACTAATAAGGTGTTCTAGAACAGGGTCAGCAAAATGTGGCTATACCTCAGGTCCAGCTTTGCCCATCTTTTGTGTGTTGTCTGTGTCTGCTTTTACAGGGTAGCCACATAGAAAGCAGCCACAGAGTTGAGTAGTTGCAATAAGGACCTTATAATTTTCAAAGCCAAAAATATTTGATACCTGGTCCTTTACCCAAAAAGTATACCAGCCCACACTCCAGAACCTTGCAATTCAAAGTGTGGTTTGAGTACCAGCAATATCAGCATTTCCTGAGTGCTTGTTAGAAATAGAATTTTAAGCTTCACTTGAGATCTGAATCAGATCAGATCTGCAAAATCCCAGGGGATTTGTATGCACATTTCTGTTCAAGATACACTGTCTAGAATTTTTTATTTTGACTGATGAGATACAATAAAATTCATACCACTGCTAATCCCAACAAAGCCGTGGAGAGGCAATATTTTGTTCCAAATCTTAGTGAAGTCATTTTTATATGGTGGTATTTTCCCCTGTAGTAATCCCTTTTTAATATTGTTTTTCTTAGGCAGAAGATAAAGAGGAAGAAGATGTATCTGGTGAACCTGAAGCTTCACCAAGTGCAGATACAACTATCCTATTTGTGAAAGGAGAAGGTAATAGAGAAATACTAGTTTTGACTTAGCTGTAGAAATTTTTAAAATAACAAGGTCACTTTTTGGGGAAGTGTTATTAATGCTTAAGATGCATCTTCCTTTCTTGCAAGTTTAAATATACATTTTGGAAAAAGACCTCATATATATGTATGAATATCCATGTCTGTAAGGTACTGTTCCTGGCATTTAAATTAAGGAGGAAAAGAAAAACTATCCATTTTAACTAGAAATTAAATGTTCTTTCGAAAGAAACTGTTTTTAAACTGTTTTCAAACTGCCACAGTAAAGTAACTTGTATTTTGAATGGAAAAATTAGTGAAATATTAAATCTTTACAATTAGGCCTTGGTTGGAGCCTAGATTACATTAAAAGAAAGCAAATAATGGCTTATATTTAATGAAGGCTATGGCAAGCATTGTTCTCAATGCTTTTCATGTATTATTAAATCCTTACAGAAATCCTCTGAGGTTAGTTACTATTGCTAAACCGAGATTTAGAGAGGTTAACAATTTGTCCAGTGTTACCCAGTTAGTAAATAGAGTGTGGAGACAGGGTTTTAGACCCAGATCAGTCTGACCCCAAAGCCTGTGCTGTACTGGGTGAAACTTAGCTCTGTAGACTACAGTATAATTATTGAAGAGTTATTTTGAAGTTACTAATTTTTTTGGTCTTCTCAAGTTTTCTATTTTATTCCTACGTATGTTCCAACTTTTTGCCTACAAAAAGTTTAATTTGATTAAGAGATTCCCTCCCTTCCCAATTTATTATCTGTCATTCTTCTTTCCATTATTTGCATAGATAACAGATACTGAGTTGGGGGGTGGGAGGTGACTTCATAAGACAGATAGTCTCACTGCAAGATAATCTTACTAAAAGTATACGACTCTTTCTTAGACCACATAATTTGGATGTGATCTGGTCTGAAATTGAGGTACTCAGTTCAGCTCTTAAGTTGGAATGCTAGAGTATAGACAAGGGTTTCAGTTTATATACCAGTTACTAGTTAGTGGATGACTGGAATGCTCCATTGAAAGAGATTCTGAAACCAAGTCTACATGTATTGGGAAAGAGTGCCAAAATCCATGAGTAATGTCATACTTTTTATTTTATGCCCTTTGAGCATGTTCTAATCTTGTCTCTCTTCTTTCTTCCTTCCTTCCTTTCTTTTTTTTTTCTTTCAGATTTTCCAGCAAATAACATTGTGAAATTCCTGGTAGGCTTTACAAACAAGGGCACAGAAGATTTTATTGTTGAATCCCTAGATGCCTCATTCCGTTACCCGCAGGACTACCAGTTTTATATCCAGAATTTCACAGCTCTTCCTCTGAACACTGTAGTCCCACCCCAGAGACAGGCAACTTTTGAGTACTCCTTCATTCCTGCAGAGCCAATGGGCGGACGACCCTTCGGTCTAGTCATCAATCTGAACTACAAAGATTTGAACGTAAGGCCCTCTAAACTTTTTTTTAGTTAGAGATGGGTGAGGACAATTAACATTTGAATATTCTGTGTTTACTCATTCACGTGCCTGTGTTGTGGTTAAAACTCCAATGAGGCAAAGATAAATTGCATGTCTCTGTCTTTAAGTCTATAATCCACTGGGGGAGATGAATGTAAGCAGGCTATATCACAGCATGATAAGTGATACATTCTAAATGTAAGTGTGAGGTGCTAGAGTATTAAAGTGGAAGTGACTTGAGCTGGATCTTAAAAGGAAAGTTAGCCACAGTGGAGTCTGCTATTTTTAATACAGGTTTAGCAGTAAGGTTTATGGTTTATGAGATCCAAGTAGCCTAAGGAAGCTCTGCTGTCTTCTGGTTTTTAATATGTTGTGGTATATATCCAATGAATGAATAAGAGAAACCTAGCACAATTGTGCTACTGGGAGCTCACCTCTGGATCCCAACTATTATGTCCACCTTCAGATAAGAGCACATCTAAACCCATTTCCTTTTCAAAAACTTTTCAGTGAAGGAATTTTTTTTTTTAAATATATTTTATTGATTTTTTTACAGAGAGGAAGGGAGAGAGATAGAGAGTCAGAAACATCGATGAGAGAGAACCATCGATCAGCTGCCTCCTGCACATCCCCCCACGGGGGATGTGCCTGCAACCCAGGTACATGCTCTTGACCGGAATCGAACCTGGGACCTTTCAGTCCGCAGGCCGACGCTCTATCCACTGAGCCAAACCAGTTTCGGCCAGTGAAGGAAATTTTATCCTTTTTGGAAGCTTAGTCAACCTTTCATTATTGTAGTGTCCACATGTTTTCCTTATATCTTAGTTAAATTTCTGGTGCTGCAATTAAGTTTTTCTTTTTAAAAAATTTCTTAGTAGAGAGTAGGTTTTTCATTTTTCCTTCAAAATAACATATTACACTTTCTCAACTTTATAGTTAAGTGACTTGAAGAATTACATATTTCAAACAGAAAACTTAATCTATCAGGCATATATGTAGTTTCAGTTCCATTTTAAGTATTAGTTTCATCAGTATTCTGATTCTTGGAATTGTCAACAGAAGAATGCCAATTGCAAGATTTTGAAGTAAAACTTTTATAATTACAGTTTAGCAATAGGTAACTTTTTAAGTACTACCTTTGTGCAAAGAATCAAACACTGAAAACGGCTAACTATGTATTGTTCCAGTGATTTTGATGTATTTGAAAACTGAAATTGTGTTGAACTAACAAAATTGTTTCAAGATCACAACAGAAAAATATTTTGATAATAAAAAGCACCCATTTATTATAAATTTATTTCCAACCCATTGTTAATTTAGAACATGAATTTGACTTGTTCAAGTCTAATTTTTTTGTTCTGGTAATCTTAATCTGAGGATAGTTTTTCCATTGATTTTTAGAGAGAGTTCAGGGGAGGGAGCAAAGGGGAAAGAGAGAAATATCAATATGAGAGAGACACATTGATGGGTTGCTTCCCGAATGTACCCTGACTGGGGCTGGGGATCGAACCTGCAACCCAGGTATGTGCCCTTGACCGGGAATTGAACCCAAGATCCTTTGGTGTGTGAGCTGATACTAACCATTTAGCAACACCAGCCAGAGCTCAAGTCTAGATCTAGTTCCTAAAATAATCTGCTATTCTATAAATGTTCATGCTCTCTCTTTCTTGTTTTGGAAGGTTACACCAACAGAACGTAGGGCTTTTCGTCATAAGAGTGTTCTGTGGGATTTGTTTCTTTCTGCACATTTTATCTTGTTTTTGTTTTACTTCCCTGATTCCTCAACTTCCCTTCCCCCCAACCCAAAAGACAGTGGGGGACAACTTTAGTGAAATTGGAAGCATTTTTTATTTCATAGGAGAAAATAACAAACATAATGTTGAATCCCTGACACCGAGTTAATGCCATTAGGTATGACTGAGTCTTGTCTTCTAAGTGATAAGAAAGCTATCATATATCTCTTAGAGTAATGGTTTTAAGAATTCTTATAGGCTTTCCTTTTTTCAATGCATTTCAGTTTGGGGGAATTTTTCTTTTTTTTTGTAAACAGGGCAATGTATTTCAAGATGCTGTCTTCAATCAAACAGTTACAATTATTGAAAGAGAGGATGGCTTAGATGGAGAAACGTAAGTGAAAGTTGAAATTTGTAGATCTTGATATTGTAGGGCTTGAAGGTTTGCTCCTATCAACCTATTTTTCTTAAATGATGGAAATGAAATGGACTATAGATTTGGTGTAATCCTAACTATGTAAATTTATACTTTAGATGGTTCTTACAGCTATTCATACCAAGTTAGGAAAGATAGTTGAAATTGACAAAAATTTGTTTTAAAAAGATAGCTTTAGCTTTCCATCCTTCCCCTCTTCTAAAATCTTTTGCACCCCATGCTCTTAAACTGATCACCAGCCTAATCTAAGTTGCATGCCTCTAAAATTGCTATTGAAAATGTAAATCATAAGATTTTATCTTAAAAAATGTGTTCTTTGTAAACGATGAGTTATTTCTTACTGTATACTTAGATGAAATTCACCAAAAGTAACTTAAATCAAACTGCAAAATGATCTAATATTTGAGGGAGACAAACTTAATACTATTATAAAGCAATTTTACTAATTTGGGATCATATAATTGCTTTTTTAAATTCTTAGAAATAAAGTAAAAAATTTATAAGACTTATTACCTGGGTCTAAATTGAATTAAATTCTTTTATTCCTTTTACCAACAAGTTATTTGGAAAGCTTATCTAGTGTTAACATTATACACAGTGGGGCAAAAGTAGGTTTACAGTTCATATGTAAAATAATACAATGATTAATAAATTATAATGTGTCTACTCACAACTGCAAACGTACTTTTGCCACACCCTGTAGATGTAATTAGCTATGATTTTTTTAAGTTAAACAAGAATTATAGTTTTAATAAGCTGTGATAGTTCCCATGAATTAAGCCAGTTTGTATTTTTTCCTTTTATATTAGAATCTTTATGTATATGTTCCTTGCTGGTCTTGGGCTCTTGGTTGTTGTTGGCCTTCATCAACTCCTGGAATCTAGAAAGGTAATTATAGGTGAACGAATCTTATAGCCATACTTCAGAAGTTGTTACAGTACTAACTTAAGTTCAGTCCAGTGACTTCTTGCTTTCACTATGAATTTGTATATTTACAGGTTTGTTGTGCCTTTTACTTTATTTAATTATTTACTTATTTATATGTTTGTTTGTTTGTTGGTTGGTTTGTTGTACCTTTTAAAATAAAAGCTAAAGGTGAGACCTTGGGTATGTGACTTGGATTTGTTTAGATTTTTCTATACATGTGCAATTAGTGTCCTTAGTCTGTACCCTCCAGAGTTATCTTTACCTTCTTATTGTAACTCTAAATTATACTAGAATGCTTGTTTCTTTTGTTTTTAATGCTTTATTTTTGTAAATATATTTTTATTGGTTCCAGAGAGGAAAGTAGAGAGAGGGAGGGAGATAGAAACATCAATGATGAAAGAGAATCATTGATTGGCTGCCTCCTGCACATCCCCAACTGGGGATCAAGCCCGCAACCTGGGCATGTGCTCTTGACTGCAGTCAAACCCAGGACCCTTCAGCCCACAGGCTGACATTCTATCCATTGAGCCAAACCAGCTAGGGCCACTTGTTTCTTAAACTCAGACATAAACTTTCATTTTTCTGTTCACTACACTTTTTCAAGAATGTGTTATTTTATCTGTAAGCATGGAAACTTTTATATTTGCTTCAGTACTCTTAACTGTAAGGATAATTCCTAATTAACAATTAAATGTATCTTTTCATTTGAAAAATAATGAATTGGATTGTATTTGTTCTGTCTAACTTCTGTTTTCTTGTTTGGGTAGTAAAGTGGTGACACTGAGCACCTACTGTAATCGTGGTTTCTCTCTCTACCATGGTAGCTAATTCCGCCACTGTCCTCATCTCACTTTGCTCTCTGACCCTGCAAAACAACTCATATTTCTCTCATGAGAAAGTGTAACATGATTTGTGTCAAATATATTACTATCCACTAGACCAGCCGTGGGCAAACTACGGCCCGCGGGCCGGATCCGGCCCGTTTGAAATGAATAAAACTAAAAAAAAAAAGACCGTACCCTTTTATGTAATGATTTTTACTTTGAATTTATATTAGTTCACACAAACACTCCATCCATGCTTTTGTTCCGGCCCTCCGGTCCAGTTTAAGAACCCATTGTGGCCCTCGAGTCAAAAAGTTGCCCACCCCTGCACTAGACCCTTATACTAAAACTAGGGGCCCAGTGTATGAATTCCTGCATCTTGAAAGGAACTGTGGGCTGCGAGGCTACAGTGGGCACAGGGGCAGGTCTTGATCCATCCTCCATGCCCCCGCCCGGCCCCTCCCATCGTGCCACTCCCGCTGCCACCACTTGCGCTGACAGCACAGAGTGATTGGGGCTGGTGCCATCAGCAGGTGTGAGCAGCGGCTGCTGCCCCGATCACACTTCAGGAGCAGGGGGAGGTGGAGAAACCCTCGGGCAATCAGGGCTGGCAGCAGGTGCAAGCGGCAGCTCCAGCACTGGCAGCAGGTGTGAGCACCGAGCAGGACCAGGGCGTGTGGGAGCAAAGAATTTTCAGTAACCACCAGAGGCTTGCCCTGATGACAGCAACTGGCTGGCGCCCCCGCTCACCTGCCCCACCATCCCACCGTGGCCAATGCCCGCCATGTTCCGTGCTCTGCCGCCTGCTTCCCACGCCTGCCATGTTCCATGTGCGCCCCCTGGTGATCGCACGTCATAGCGACCAGTTTGGTTGTTCCTCCGTTCAGTCTATTTGCATATTAGGGTTTTATATATATAGATTAGCAATAAGTGTTACTAATAAGCACTTGTTCTTTAAAAGAGAAGTACTTAGTGCTTAAATGTTAATTTCCATAACTTTCTTTGCCTCATTTTCATAATAGAGTTTTTGATATAAATACATATATTAGATATAATGGCATCTCTAATTTTTCCCATTTCAATGAAGCCATTTTTTTTAATTGGCTGTGGTTACCTTTCTGTGTATTCAAAACCTAATTTTTAGGCTGTGTATTTTATGTTCTTTTAGGTAAATATGGTTTTTGGGGGTATTTATAAGAGCAGGGCTAAATAGAATTGAAGTAATCTAGCAGTTTTGCTGCAAAAACTCTAGGGACAAAGATTTTGGTTGTTAAATGAGATTTTATGTTTTTGTTTTGTTTTATCTATGCCAACTGTTTTAAGTGTGTTTAACAATGCAGGAACCTGCCTGCATGCAGCCTTTCAGTGATTTATCCTGAATTTTGTCAAATTTAGAAATAAATTTATTCTTTAACATTTGATACTCAAAGGGAAAGAATTGTTGTATACATAGAAAGTCTTGATAACACATGAAGCTTTATAGCATAGGAAAATATCTTTAAAGCCTGAAAATAAATCATTGTTTGAAGATTTATTCCTTTATTATTCTTTATAATTGGTGCTAGACATGATTTTCCCCCTCTGATTAATAAAAACTTGAGTAGGAGTATGTTTTAAAACTAGAAGAGGACATAATTTCTTTATAATTTCTTAAATATCTTAAATTAAGATACTTAAGTAGCTTGATAGGTCTCTTTTTAAAGTTACAGTAAACAGTATAATGAAACTCCTTTAAAGTACTGTTTTTATGTTCTCTTAGCGCAAGAGACCTGTACAGAAAGTAGAGATGGGTACAACAAGTCAGAATGATGTTGACATGAGTTGGATTCCTCAGGAAACTTTGAATCAGATCAGTAAGTACTCTTACTAACTTGGCTGGGAACTTTTTCTCTTAAATGGAAATTAAATATTTTAGATTTAGCACAAGTGCTTGGTCAGTGCTATTTAACACTCATCTTTTTCAATACTTGTATAGAATTTAGTATATGTTTAATGAGTGCTTTAAAATTTTATTCTGTGTAGTTCTTAATTTAGAAATGCTTCCAGATCTGCAGTTTATATACAAATGTGTAATTCTCTATATTTCTAATCTTTTTCCTGTCTCTTTTCTTTCCTGTCGCTTCAGTGCAAAGTAGAAGAGGTGAGGTGAATTATTTTTTAATGGTGTTTGCTATGTATTTGGGGGTCTACTTTGCAATAAGCTTAAAGAGTAATGAAAGTTTCTTAGCACTAAATTTGTTGGAAGAACTGCTAACTACTAACTACCCAGAATAGTTTGAAAAAATAAAACTAAAATACTGCATGGTAGTTTTCCTAACAGATATATTTCAGTTTTATTACTACATATGCAGTTATTTAGAATATTAATTTTTATAAAAGAATGTAGAAGTAATAGGGCCTGGCAGGCATGGCTCAGTGGTTAACTATGAATCAGGAGGTCACAGTTCGATTCCCTGTCAGGACACATGTCCAGGTTGTGGGCTCAATCCCCAGTGTGGGGCATATAAGGAGGTAACCAATCAATGATTCTCTCTCATCATTGATGTATCTATCTTTCTCCCCTCTTTCTCTCAATAAAAACATGTAAAATATCAATAAAATCAATAAAAATATGTTTTTAAAAACAGTAATAGGGCCTCATAAAAAATAAATAGTACAGAAGTGAAAAACTGATATCACCTGGTTCCATTGACCCCATTTTTCATAAGTAATTGGTACTTATATGTTATTCTAAGTATTTTCTATACATATATCAGCATATATGTCTGTTGACCTCTGTTGGTTTTGTACAAATGGAATTATATTGCACACACTGTTATACAATCTGAGTTTTCATGCTTTTGGTATTTTTTTGTGATAGTTACTAACATATTTACCTCATTCTTTTCATAACTAGATAGTATTTTATATGAATGTGTCATCACAGATTAAACCTGTTCTGTATTGAAGGATGTTTGTTATTTTGAGTTTTTCCGTCTTAAAATTAAATCTGTAATGAGGAAGCTTGCCATATAGCTGATAAGAGGTGGAGCCAGGATTCAAATGAGTGTGCAATTAAAGGCATTATGCTATCTAAAGTGGTAGTATTAATAAAGGTGAGTGAAGCAAAATTATCAAATAATACTAAGTGCTCATATGTAAGCACTTATTTTTTTAAAAAGCTGTAATGAAGATTCTTAAATTTATGCACACCCAAACCTGTAGATAATTTTTTTAAGCGTTTCAGCCAAACTTGATGATTTTTAAAAATTCTATGTATATTGCAAAATAATTGTCACAGTAAGTCTAGTTAACACCCATCACTACACATAAGTTACAAATACTTTTCTTGTCATGAGAACTATTAAGATCTATTCCAGGGGTGGGCAAACTTTTTGACTCGAGGGCCACAATGGGTTCTTAAACTGGACCGGAGGGCCGGAACAAAAGCATGGATGGAGTGTTTGTGTGAACTAATATAAATTCAAAGTAAACATCATTACATAAAAGGGTACGGTCTTTTTTTTTTTTTTTTTTAGTTTTATTCATTTCAAACGGGCCGGATCCGGCCCGCGGGCCGTAGTTTGCCCACGGCTGATCTATTCTCTTAGCAAGTTTCAAATATACAGTACAGTATTGTCAATTATAGTCAATTATGATATACATTATATCCCGGGACTTACATTATAACTGGAAGGTTGTACTTCTTTAAAAAAATATATTTTTACTGATTTCAGTGAGGAAGGGAGAGGAAGAGAGAGGGATATGAGAGAATCATTGATCAGCCGTCTCCTGCATGCCCCCTACCAGGGATCAGCCTGCAACTGGGGCATGTGCCCTGACCGGGAATTGAACTGTGACCTCCTGGTTCATAAGTCGATGTTTAACTACTGAGCTATGCTGGCTGGGCTGGAAGGTTGTACTTTTTGACTCCCTTCACCCATTTTTCCCACTTCCCACAAGGGATAATTTCTTAAAAGTACAATAGTTAGGTCTAAAATTATGTGCATTTTAATTTTTAAGGAACATATCTCACTTCCTTACCAAAACATAACACCAATTTATATTCTCGCCATTTTACTATATTGTGTGCTTCTCCTCACTTACCATTCTCAAGTGTTATTATCAATGTTTTAATCTGTAAATGGTAAAAATGGTATCTTTTTTATTACAATTAAGAATGAGGTTTAGCTTCTTTAAACATATTTATTTACCATTCAGTATTTCTTTTTCTGTGAATTGACTGTTCAAGTCCTTTCTCGGTTTATAGATTGTTTTATTTACAAATTTATTTACAAATTGAATTGTTTTCCCTATTATTTCCATATTATTCAGTGAGCTCTCAATTGAAACATAATTACTTTACTAAAGTGGGTATGAAGCAATAGGAGCACAGGAGAACCCTCCTCCTGTAGGAGAGTGGGAAAATCATTCACAGAAGGAGTTGACATTTGACCAGAGTTTTGAAAAGTTGGGTGAGAAGACGTCTTCAAGGTTTTATGTGCTATGCTAAGGACTTTTGACTTTTCCTTCTAGGTAAAAAGTAGCCATCAGATACTTTAATGCTGAGAAATAAAAAATTTGTTTTAAAAGAAAATGATAGTTTTATGGAGGATGGCTAGTAAGCAGAAGCTATTAGAAGATGATTTTTTTTTTTTAAGTAAGAAATCAATAGGGCCTAAGCTAAGGTAGTTGGTGATAATAAAAGTGAGTAGAAAGATATTTCAGAAGTGGAGCAGACCTGGCTTTTGCTGACTGTTTGGATGTCTAAGGGAGGAGTGAAAGAGTACTCTGAGCTTAGGCAGCTGGGTGGAAGATGATCCTGTAATGTTAGGGAATATAGGAAGAGGAACACTAATGCATGAGGAGAGAGGAGTTTGGATTAGATCTGTTGAATGTAAAGAGCCCATGAAATTCTCAATATAACATACTTTGAAATTAGAGATATGGTGACATTTTCTGTCTATCTTCTATATATATAAAAGGCTAATATGCAAAGTGTCCCCTCGGGAGTTTGATTGCTTGCTATGACGTGCACTGACCACTAGGGGGTAGCGCGGAATGAAGGAAGGCCCCGGCCAGCAGCTGGGGAAGGAAGACCCTCATCACTGGCCAGGCCAAGGGACCCTACCTGTGCACAAATTTCGTGCATCGGGCCTCTAGTGTTGATTTAAGAAACATCCAAACCTGTAGGTAACTTTTTTTTTAAGAGTTTGAGCCAAACTGGACAATATTCCAGGAAGGAAGATCTAAGTGCTCCCAGAATATACAGTTTTCAGTTTCCCTTATACATTTCAAAATTAAGGAGGGACCATAAGGAAGATTATTTGAATATGGGAGAAAGCAAGGCAGGGAAATCTCTATGATTTGATTACAGGATAGTTAACAAGAGTATGTGCTCTTTTGAGGGTGGTTACACTCCTGAGGAGTCTGAAAAGGGGGCATTTCAAAGGTGCACCAAAACAAAACAAAACAAAACAAAACAATGAACAGGGCTTGCTTAAGGCAAAGATAACCTTTTACTAGGGAAGTTATAGGCCTGAGGCAAGACCTTCCCAGTTAGAAATTTATAATCAGATCATCCTGTAAGGTTGCTTGGTGTTAGATTTATTACAGAGCCCCTTTTCTGTCCAATACACAGTACCTCTAAAGTATTTCATTTTGCAAAGAAATACCATTTTTCTGTCAGAAACACTGTCCTATTTAAAAATTTATTTTGTTAATTATATGTAATAACCAGTCCTTATTGAAACTTCTTAAATTGTCTCAAAATATCCTTTATAACTTTTTTTTCAATATAGGATGATACATTGTATCTGGTTGTTATATTCCTTGAGTCCCTTTTAATTTACAGCAGTTCAAGAGATTGGCCACTTGCCTTGTAGGAAAGGGCTTCTCAAACATTGATTGCATACAAATCACTTGAAAATCTTGTTATGATCAGGTTTGGATTCAGCTGCTCTAGGGTGAGGCTGAAGTATTGGCATTTCTAACAAGCTCCCAGGTGACCCATTGATCACATTCATTGAGGAATAAGGCTCTAAAAAGGCCTACCCTCCAGATTTGCCAGATTGTTTTTTTTCCTGGTGTCTTTAGCTAAACTTTATTTAATCCAGAAGATAAATCTATAGGCTTGGTTAGACTTAAGTTGATCTTTCTGGCTAATAGCATACTTCAGTGATTTTCACCTTTTTCATCTCATGACACACACGAACTAATTAATTACTAAACTTCTGCAATATACCAAAAAATACTATTTTGCTGATCTGACAGAATACATAGGTATAATTTTGATTCGTTCACACTGGGTGTCAATTTTTGTGTTGGCTGTTGTCATTTTTTAATTTGACAGACTAAGGGGACCCGTTGGTCCCCTGACTAAATAGTCAGGTATTGCATGTTTTGAAAATTCTTGCATCACTCCAGTTGAAAATCATTGGCATACATCATAACTCTTGAGTACTTCTGCATCACATCAAGTAACATGTGCCATCATTAGTGATGATAACTTGAGCACTAAATTAGGGTGAAGGTGAGGTGTTTCTGCCTTCAGCCTAGAAGTTATTGTGGGTGTCACTTTGGCATCACACAGATTTCCAATTCTCTAAACATTCACCAGTTGATGATCCTCTCATGAATCAATGTGCCAGAGGTGTTGATAATTTTCAACTGAGATTTCTTTGACTTTTTACTTACTGTCATTTTTTTTTTAAAGTACATAGAGCTTTCCCTAATCAACTAAAACTATTTGGTTACCCTAAAACACAGTTCCTACTGAAAAAGGATAAATGCTAAATTAAATTCTTCCCTTTATTCTCTAATTTTCAAAGTAAAGAAGCACCCAAATGATGACAAATGAGCTTTTTTCTAATTTTCTCCTTTGTTTTTTATCATCTCTAAATTCGGATTTTCATAGAATTGCTGTGTTAACTATATTCTTTTTTTAAATCCTGACCCAAGGATATTTTTTCCATTGATTTCTAAAAAGAGAGAGAGACATGGACGTGAGAGGGAAACATCTACGTGAGAGAGGTACATAAATCGGTTGCCTCCCCCACACGCCCTTACCAGGGCTGGGGAACCTGCAACCAAGGTATGTGCCCGTGACTGGGAAGGAACCCAAGACCCTTTGGTTCGCAGGCTGGCGCTCTAACCACTGCTGAGCGACCGGCCAGGACAACTATATTCTTTTTGATGCTCAAATTGTTAGTTTTGGCTTCTGGGTGCCTTTTTGAATTGCCTCTATTCTTAGCCTTTTGATCTTTGAATGATTTCTTACTAGCCAGCTCAACAAGATAATCTAAACTTTTGTACCTTCTCTGCTCTAAACACGGAGCTAGTCATGATTCTGTTTCTCCAAGGACCCCTAGATGATACTAGAAATGGCATTCATACTGGGCGACATTGTTTCTAGGCCCATTCTTTGAACTGAGATAGAAAATACATATTTTTCAAATCAAATTTATATTGATATTTTCAATTCAACTATAACAGAATTTTTATTTAATTTTATATGCTTGGTTTTTTGTTTCTCTTATACTTGATTCCTTACAGCAGTAGTTCTTAAACTGCACATTCATCAGAATCACCTAGACTGCTTGTTAAGCTTTGCTGAGCCCCACCCCTAGAGTTTCCAATTGAGTAGGTCTTAGGTAACACCTAAGAATTTGCATATCTAAGTTCTTAGGTGATTTTGAGGCTGCTGGTCCAGACCACATTTTGAGAACCACTGTCCTAGAACATGGTTTTCTTAGAGTAAAGGAGTTGAGCCAAATTGCAGGTAATTTAGAAAAAATAGCCCGCCCTTCCTTCCTCCCTTCCTCCCTCCCTCCCTCCCTCCCTCCCTCCCTCCCTTCCTTCCTTCCTTCCTTCCTTCCTTCCTCTCTTCCTTCCTCCCTCTCTCCCTCCCTACCCCCCTCCCTCCCTCCTTCCCTCCGTCCCTCCTTCCCTCCCTCCCTCCTTTCCTTCCTTCCTTCTGAGGGGGAGACATTGATTGGCTGCCTCCTGCATACCCCCTACTGGGAATCAAGCCCGGGCAATGTTCCTTGACCCAAAATTGAATCTGAGACCTTTTGGTACATGGGGGGAGGACCCTCAACCAACTGAGCCACACTGGCCAAGGCAAAATAGTCATTTCTTCTGAAAATAGGACATGTACTTTGCATATTTGAGGATTGAATGGAAAAAAACAAAAGAGATTTTGAAGGTCATGGAGCAGGAGGCCTGTCTGGAAGGTGCCTCAAGCTTTGAGGAATTACTTTTAGAGAGAGGGGTGGTATAAAGAGTAGGACATTATAAGAGGCCAATATTTAACTTGGCAGGAGCTTTTACTCATCTATCTCACTCATGAGAATGTAAACGAAGGAAGGGTAGTTTGGTGTCATTGCTAATAAGTTTTTGCTTGATTATTAATAAGTTTCACTAAAATTTTGCCTTTGTCATCTAAAAATGAAAAAAGATTGCAGGGAGATATGATTTTACTACAGTTAATTTCTAAGTTTTTTTAAGGGTTTGGGTGATGATGGTAAGTGGGGGGTTGGGCTGAAAAGCATCATTATGCACATTGTTCTTTGCTGAAATAAAATGCCGCTCTCTGAGTTGAGATATTACGAGCCATTTTTCCAAACACTCAGTGACTCCAGAATGCTCTTACTCTGTTTCTCATTTGTCTGCTTCCTAACTTTGATGAGCTACACAGGCAGGTGATGAAGGCTTATTCTATGCATTCCCGTATTTAAAAACCTGTTGCAGGTGTTTGAAATTGTTGGAAGTCAGTGATCACCACTTCACATCTGCTTAGTAACAGCAATATTCACACAGATGGCTATTAGATTCTAAAGTGCTTTTTGAATCCTCAAAAATTATATTCAGCATATTGTTTAGCTTTTTAATTATTTGGAAATTGGTCAACTGTGTAAAGGCAGTGGTTTTTAGTCTAACCTTTTTGAAAATCTGATGAAAGTTGTAGGCTATCTTCATCAGAAAAATGCTTCTATGCTCAGTTTTAGATAAGTTGAACCCCTTAAATAACATTACTAACTTATGTAATAAAGGTGGGTTTTCATGTGACATGTAGACTTAGTCTTAATATTTGAATCATTAACTCTTAAACAGATTTTTTAAAAGAATTTTTAGTTTCTAAATATGCTTAATAAAACTATTATGTATTTTAAAAATATAGGCATGGTCTAGTAATTTTGGAAAATAAAAATTAAGATCTTTTAGGCACATTATATTTTTCATACCATTGTTCATGAAATGCTTTCAAATGAACCCCATACTTTGGTGAACCATCTTTTTCCAGCCCTTCATTTTTTTAAAAAACTGGAAAAATACTTATTTCACAAAGAGAGCTTATCTTCCTAATTTGAAAAATGCTCCTACAAAATAAGAAGCCACAATAGTCAGAATTCAGCCCTTCCTTTTTTAAAGAAACTTAAAGATGACTCTTACTGAAAGTAGAAGAAACTCACTATCAATGTATTTTTTGTTTGATAGTCCCCACTAAGACTCTTAACATAAGATATAAAGAGAAAAAAGTAAAAGCATAATGTTTATGTGTGTAGGATGGTCTTAGTATTGATATACTATCTAATTTCCTACTGCTTATTCTAGGTAAGTCTATGAAAGTGTCAATATTATGCCAACTGCATGGCTGCATTTGTAAATACTGTCTTTAATTTTGTAACCAATATAAATATTTTTGAGCTGCAAACTTCATACATTTTACACTATTTCCCAAGTGTTTACTTATGCATGCATAATCATGTTAAATTGTAGAATTCAAGAAGATTTTGCATGGTGGCTCCTATGTTACAGTAACTAAGATTGTATCTTTTCCCACCCTAATTGCAAAAGTTTTTGTTTTAATTCAGTTACCTCTTGAAGGATTGATTATTTGGAAGGTTAGTTAAAATACTTAAACTAGAAAAGAGGCATTTATTATTAGATGGCATATTTTTGCATGTATGTTTATTTTTTGAGCTTAATTGTAAAGTTGAAGGGAAATGCTTTTTTAAAATGTATTTTGAATCTAGCGTATCTATAATAGGCAAATTCAAACTTTCTCTTTTCTTGCAGATAAAGCTTCACCAAGAAGGTTGCCCAGGAAGCGGGCACAGAAGAGATCAGTGGGATCTGATGAGTAAATGTTCCTTTGTGCAACAATTCAGTCTTTACTTAACCTGCCCTAATGTTTTTCGGCCTCATGGGAATTAGTGCAGAGAAGCCATATCATCATAGAAGGCAACTACTACTTGTGTGTGGACTGAGCAATCAGAGTCTGTGGCGATAATATTTTTGAACGTGCACTGCATTCATTTTTCTAAAGTAACAAATTTGTTTTTTAAACCATTAAAATCTATGTGTGTGTGTGTGTGTATGTGAGCAGTTGGTCTTACCAGAATCATCGTTGAACTCCCTGAAGCATGCCTTTAGAATACTGAATATGTTAATTGCCTTTCTTGTTGACATTTTCTCCCCAAAGTCCTTATTTATCCAAGATGATTATAGATGTCCTACGTTGGACTGTTCAAAGAAAACAATTTTTTTCCTCCTTAGAGTCCAATTGATAGAACAAATTAGCATTTGGTTGTTATCGTTGCTGTTTTACAACTAGTATTCTAAAGGTACAAGCAGGAGCAGCTGCTTTTTAGCAATAGAGTTTTGGTACTTTGCTTCTGTTTATTATAATATGCACCTTAGAACACTTCCCAAATGAGTTCAAGGGATCTCTAGCAACAAAATTGTGAAACATGAAAATTCTGTTGATTTTGGTATAAAATCCACCCCACTCTTTCTTTATCAAAAAGAAAATGGTGTGCTTGTGGAAACTGAGTTGTTGTGTTGACCATTATTCTATTTCTTACCCGAGGCATTGCTCTGGAATGATTGTAGACCTACGTAGTTCTTTTTTGAAGAGATCATCTGTTTCTCCTTAGTAGAAGTATTTTACTTAAGAAAAGTTGCCTTAACTACAGACCAAGCAGAAGGCCAATTTATAAGGGCAGAGATATATTCCAACTAATTCTAATTTGTTTTAAGAACATTTAGTTTGGTATTTTTTAGATGGTTAATCAATTGTTTTTTATCTAATCTTTTTGGTATTTTGGTTGTTGATAAAACCTTTTTTTTTTAGTTCATCTGAAGAATTCCAAACTTTTAAGCACTCAGTATCTAAAAACCAAAATTAAATTGGACTTCATAAAATTCACTTAGAGAGTTACTCTTGCCCTAGGTATTAAGTTTGGCATCATTGTTAGACTAGATAAAGGGTAAAGTATAATAGAAGGAACACATAAGAGACTTTTCCCCTCTATCTTTAAGCCATATTCTTCCGTGTATATTTTGTAAGGAAATGGTATGTGAAATTTTAGTGGCTGTTCAATTCCTGATTGTCTTCATTATAATGAACTGACCACTCCCCACCTGTACCCATGCCCACACAAAACAATGAAAAGAGACAAAACACACACACAAAATCTTTCCAAGTTGTTTAAGTATTTAAACATCGGAGCCAAAGTCAATGACAAAATAGAAGTCATTGTATAGTTATTAATCACATTGCAAGTAGCGGTGAAGGTGTCAAATTATTTGTGTTGGCATTGCTGCACTATAAACTTCTATACCTGTAATATAAAGTGTTTGAGTTTTTAATTGGGCTGAAAAATCAGTTTATTTTGAAAAAGCTCTATGAACTCTAAGAGACTGCATGGTTTTTTTGCTAAATGTAATAAGGAGGCCCTTCCAACTTCTCAAGGAATGTATTCCCAGATATTTTTTGTGAGCATCCCAAGTTTGTGAAACTACTAGAACATAATGCAGTGAGGTGTGATTACAGAATTTAAATGACCTCTAGAGAATTTTATCAACAACCTGGTAATGCTGAGAGAGTGGCAAAACCACTCTGACTGCCAGGTGCCACCCCTTGTAACCCCTAAGTAATTTGCCTTACATACTAGCTCATCCTTTTCTGAGGTTCAAGTTCGTGCCTCAGAAATTATTTGTCATGTTTTATTTTTTTAGCATAGGTTAGGAACACTTGAAAACTCAGGTGCTGGGACGTCTTCTCTAGTATCAGTAAGTGTTTAGCAGGAACTAACTCTGTAATAAATGGAATTCAATTCCACACATGGTTTGTTCAAGCACACTTAATAAGTAGTCTATTTTTTAAATGTAAATATTTGGATGAAGTTTTTGTTTGTTTTGAAATATTCATTTGCTACATTAACCATGGTTTCAGAATTTACCATTTGAACAGTTTGGTTTCAGAATCTGTAAAATGAACTAAGAATCTTGTGTATCAATTCAGACATGTGAGAATATGTGTTTATAAAGCGTGGATCTTGCTTTGGTTGTATAGCTTCATCATTCATTTCATGGATATCAATAGCAAATGACTTTTAAAACTATTCCTGCCCTCTAAGGTGTTGGAGTGGGGAAGGGAAATGGGACCTCCCAGGTAGAAACCTGAGGAAAACAGAAATCACAAGGAAAGGAGCCTTGACTTGATTTTAGTGATGTTTTTAATTTTAAATAAGCTTGAGATCATAGTGACTTTGATAGGAAAAGACAAATTTAGATCTTAAATATATATTTAAAAGCCACTGCCTTAAAGGTGTATTTGCAATGCATCAGCCCGGAATTGTATTTTGGCTCTGTTTGGGAGAAGTAAGTGGTGGTAATGTGATGTCAAAACTTTTATTTAATGATGAGTTACTTTGGAGCTACAGTAGTAGATAAATGTAATATAATATGCAAGGCTCTTAAAGCATTCATCTTTTGTGATACAATGATATCCATACCCTTGGTATGAAGGAAAATTTACTTGTTTAGTGCATTTAAATAATGTGATTTTTCTTTTTTTAATCATGAACTCAGCATTATGCAGCATCTCTCACCAAGGTTTTAATAGGTTACACCCTTGATTTTTCAGTATTTCAGTTTCAAAATTAGATGTTAGTTTAATTTTAAAACACTTCCTGCCCTAGCCGGTTTGGCTCAGTGGGTAGAGCATTGGCCTGCGTGCCAAAGGCTCCTGGGTTCAATTCTGGTCAAGGGCATGTACCTCGGTTGCAGGTTCCTCCCCGACTGGGTCCTCATTGGGGCTTGTGCAGGAGGCAGCCAATTGATGTGTTTCTCTCACATTGATATTTCTCTCTCTCCCTCTCTTCCATTGTCTTCAAAAATCAATGGGAAAATATCCTCAGATGAGGATTTTAAAAAATAAATAAATAAAACCAGAAAAAGAAAACTTCCTGATACACTTGAAATAATTAACCACATCATTTATAGTTGTAAAATTAATAAATTTGTTTGGATTTTATTAAATAACTAGAGGCCCAGTGCCCGAATTCGTGCACGGATGGGGTCTTGCCAGCCTGCCCCGATGGGGGTCCATCAGGCCTGGCCAGTGGGGTGGAAGGGGTCGAGGGTGGTTGGCTGGCTGGCCCCGCCCCCCAGTCAGGGTGTTGGGGACCGATTGGGGCCCGGATCAGGCTGGTTGGCTGCCACAGTATGCGTCATAGCCACCAGTTGTTCTGGTCATTCCACCATTCCCGTCACTGGGCTTTTATATAGAGAGATATCCTACTTTGAATTAGATCTCCAGCTTTAGTGAGGAGCAAGGTGATACATATGCAAGACCCTTCTTACTAGTATAAGTGAAAGGTTAGGTTTTGTTAAGCTTCTCTCTAGAACAGTGGTTCTCAACCTTGGCTGCACATTAGAATCACTTGGGAATCTTAAAATCCTGATTTCTGGGCCTCATCCTCCAGAAATTCTGTTTCTTTGTTATGGGGTGGGGCCACAACATTAGTAACAAAGAAACAGAAGTTCCGGAGGATGAGGCCCAGCAATCAGGATTTTAAAAAGATGTAGTCAGCCCTGGCCTCTAACCAACAGTGACTTTCAGAAGGCAGCTCATCTTTAGAGTTTTGATGTGTGCTTGTAAAATTGAGAGACAAATCAAGTGTCAGTTCCAAATTGTCCTGATTCTGTTACCTACAATGTTAATACAATGTTAAGTGATTCTTCCTTAAATCTAGTTTACTCAGGAAAAAAAAGAAAAATGAACTAAGGTATAGAATGGACTCATGTCAGGCTGCCTGGGCTCAAAGTCCCAGCTCCCCCTTCTTAGTTGGAGGCGAATAACCTCTCTGGGCTTCAGTTTTGGGTGCTTAGCACATTGCCCAAGCAAAGGAAGCCATGTGAGTGAGGCGCTGTGGGCGCTGGGTTGTCACAGCATTCTGTGAAGCATGCGAAGGGAAGGAAGTGCATATGGTACTCTTTGGACTTAGATGTGGAGTGATAGTTAAATTCTGCGTAGAAAAGTTAAACAGCGTTCTTTTTAAACTACAGAGTAAAAGTCTTAAGATGAACATGAAATATAGGTAGTTCTGTGGATTTAATAATGAATCAGAGTAATAAGACTGCCAAGAGGAGTTCTTGTAATAAGTCTGTTAAAACCCACACATCCAATTGAGAATTACCTTTTGCAGACACTTGGAGAGGCTACATGTTTTCCAGTATTTCTATTTTTGGAACTTAGAATTTCTTTCAGATTTATACTATAAGCCACTTAATAAACAAAAGAGACTTATATATTGTTTTTTCAGAAATCTGTTTGTGTGGTCTCCCATCCTAGTGACATTGTCATAATAGGTGCTCCAGCTCTAAAGGCATTTTAGAAAGCAGTGTGAGAAATATTTTAAACAGAAATAGTGTTTGGATTGAGGCCCATGCTCTGCACTTCCGCATGCATTCTCATTCAGTCCTCACAACTACCCTAGGCAACTCCTTATCTATGATGGAACAGCCTCCAGGAGACCAGAGGTATCCACACTGCAGGTTTGGTCCATTGCCTTCTCCACCTTTGTTTGAAAAAGGTATATGTACACTTTGTTTGGAAGCACATTCACATTAATGCACAAAATATACTTACCTGTGTTCTGGTTGCATCATTTGGGATTTGCTTATTTTCTCTGAGGTAGACATCTCTCTGGCACTGCTCAAAGTCAAGCTACATTTATAAATACTCTTCAACAGTGGCTGTCTTGAAAGGATCTGTTGCCATAACCCTTGGCACAAGATTTAAACCAGTGATCCTCAGTACATGTGAGACTAGGACTTCTCTGCCCGTGAACTCCCCTGGGTTTATTATTAGAGTCATATGTATTATAAGGTCTTGCATTTAATATTTCATACTGTTCATAATTGTTAACTTTTCATGGCTAAAAGTACTATTATGTATTTGTAAATTAGTCCGTAAAAGCTGATGGCACTGTCCACTAAAGGGAAAGTAAATCAAACCAGCTGTAGACTGCTGGTCCGAAGCTGTGTGCGAGAACAGTGGCAGCAGGATCACTCCGCATGGTGGTATGAGATTGGTTTCACTTGTCTTTGACCTTAGTTGAACCCACCTGGATAACACCTGGTTTACACCCTGCCTAGAATTACTCTCATTTCAGAAACCACTACAGTGGCTTTTCACATGTGGCAACAGGGCTGTTTTTAAGGAGATATCCTGTAAATGTGGGCTCTTGGTCACTTCTGCACAGTGAAGACAATGCTAACTACAGTCTACACAAGCGTTCACCACTCTTACTGACTCTTACTGTCACCGGGTCCTATCTTCCAGGTTTTTGAGACTGGACCCTCAGTCGTGCACCTCCTTTCCTGTCACCCTCTCATCTCTGGCTGCTTTCCTGCTGTGCCCACCTTTACAAAAACCTTCCTGTCTTGAATCTTTTGCTTGATTCTCTTGCCCCTTTATCTGCCTCTCGGGTTTGTTTTGTTTTGTTTTCCCTCTTTGTAAAAATATATCCTAAGCAATTGGTTTCCTTTTCCTCTCCAGGCTTTCAGTCTTTTAAATTTCCTTCAATTTAGCTTCTGCCCCCCAAAACGTTCCCTTAGGATCTCATGGCTCCCTACTAGCCAGCCTTCTTTAGTCTCATTTCTCCAGCCTCGACTTTGCATATAACCCAGGGACCACCACCCTCCAAATTCTGCTTAGTTTCTATGACCTGCTCTTATGTAACTCCTCTCGTTCCTGACTAACCCACCTCAGGCTCCCTCCCGCTCTGTACTAGCCTTGGCAGAGTTCTCATGGCGGTCATCATGGCTTCATCTGTTAGCTGTGTATTTCCTCAGTCCTAATGTTTGAGACCTAAACTGTCTTAGTGCCATTCTGTCTGCGATTCATTTTTACTTAACTTTTGTATTGTAACCCCAAACCATGAAATCACAGATGCTTATTTCCCTCCATAAACCTCCCAGTCTAACTTCTTGCATTCTTCAGTAGCATGGCTCCTATTTATCCCACATTGAATTTTAAAGATCCCCAAGTATGATGACTTACCTGTAAGTATTAATAAGTGCTTTCTAATTTTTAGTTCTGCTATGAATTGGATTTCAGTTCTTGCCACCTCAAAAATCTAACAATTTAAGAACTTAAAAAACATGAAATCATTCAGTATAGGCAAAATACCTCTGGTTCAAAATTTATCTTTTTACATATTTTCCCAAAATCTTGGGTTTGCTGTTTTCTAATGCTTGAACACTTGAAATGTTATCTCTAGCAATGTGTGTGTGTGTTTAATTTTTTTTATTGATTTCAGAGAGGGATAGGGAGCAAGAGATAGAAACATCAATGATGAGAGAGAATCATTGATTAGCTGCCTCCTGCAGGTCCCCCACTGGGGATCGAGCCCGAAACCCGGCCTTGTGCCCTGATTAGGAATCGAACCGTGCTCTCCCGGTTCATAGGTTAATGCTCAGCTACTGAGCCACGCCAGCTGGGCATGATCTCTAGCTGTGTGTTTTAATCCAGTTGCTTATGGCAGAACTTGCTCCTGCAGTGTGGGGTTTTAGCTGTTGACTGTCTGAGAATGTTATCTGGCTGTCTTTTAGGACTTTGTGAAAGGAGGGTTGTGAGTCCATAAAACTCTTGTGCAGCTTTGAGAAGTATCCCTGCTCTAGAAGTATCTGGGAATCACAGCCTTTCCTGTTTGGAAATCCACCCGTCTGACCTGCCACTTAAAACTGGTGTCAAATGCATCTTTCTTACATGTCCCTTAATGAAGGGCGGTCTTCAAAGTATTTGTGTGTGATACAAAATGTTTCGTAAGTGTCAACACGTTACTGCTAGGTCTTTTTTCTTTTTTCTTTTTCTTTTTTCTGCGTCTTAAAGATGAGAAGCACAAAGGAAATCTAAAATATTAAGTGAAAAAGAAAAAAACAAACTAAAAGTAAATTTGGGTATTCAACTTCCTAATAGTTATCTAATTTTCCCATGGAATTTGTAAAAAGCTTCACACATTCTCTGCATGTAAAATGTGGGTATTAAGTAA